ATTCATTTTTTTTTTTTTGGTATTTTACCCCTGATAACTAGACATTAATGTATTTAATTAGACAATATATTATTAAATACGTTGGTGATTATATTGCTTAAACAATTGTTGGAAGTGAAAATATCTATTATTATCCCAAAAAATAGAGCCAATCGTAAATCTATTCCAAACATTTTAAAGATTTAAGATTTCAAGACATAATTTTTCACTGTCAACATCTTAATTGGAAAATAGAGGTATTTCCAACCGCATAAAACATGAAGACATATTCTAATCCTACCCTTTGGCTTTCGATCTACTAATAAATCTGAACAAAATGAAAACCCTTGAAGGTTATTACATAATACCGTCCCATCAAAACCCTTGTGATAAACATTTATTTCAATCTAACCTTTTTCATTTACATAAAAGACTAGTGAATGTGAAAATTTTTTTTATTATCTGTTTCAATCGAATGAAAAAATGTCGTCTTTTTATTTTTTGAGTTTCTTTTTAATAATTTTCACAGTAAACGGATTTTTTGTAGAAAACATAATTACACCTCAAGATTGGGAGGACAAAATATTCGATGCAATAGAATCTACGATATCATATTATCTTAACACTGACGTAAACAACCTGGACACGAGTTTAATGCTGGGAGTATCTATCATGAAAGGTACATTTTATAACGAAATGATATTTTTAAACTATTCCTATTCATTCTTAATTCTTTAGCACGTCTTTCTTTAAATCATTATTAATACATTATTATTATATGAGGACTTGAATTCAATAACGGGCTAAGTGCCAAAAAGTTGATATTGAACTATTCACAATTTTTTTGAAACCAGAGGAAAATTGTAAAAATAAATGTCAATAAAAATGTAATACCCTTTAATAACTTATACTTAACACTATTCATGCAAAATATAAGTTTTAAAAAATCTTATACTAAAAAAATGATAAAACGTGTTAAGTCACAGCAGTATATATCGGTAAAAACGTGCCAAGTGCCAAAGAATTTTTTTTATTTTTTTACAAATTTAATAGATCTTAAATACAGATATTTTGGTAATATTAGACTTAAGTTTTTACAAATAATAAAAAACGCAGAGAAAAAAAAATAGCTTCATTTACTTAATTAATTTTTCGAAAAATTCTTTATTTTCTTCTTTTAGAAATGGTAGCATTTGTTGAAGATTTTTTTTTTTCGACTGATATTTTATTTTCACATACCAAGGACGGTAAATCCATCTCTTTTATTGTGTTAACTTTCACACCTTTCTTGATGATTTTGCACGCGCTCCAAGATTCAAGTTCACTGAAGGTAGTCTTTGTTTGCACCACACCGGGCTTGTCTTTTGTTATTTTGAGCCAAGAACATTTTGAAATTTGAAGTTTTCCAGTATATAAGTACATGTCTGCTGCTTTTTTGAAATCATAGAAATTATTGGGTTCTAATAAAGTGACAATAAACGGGTTATTTGGTTTGGCGTGAACAATGAATTTTACCAAGTCCATTGGAACTTCACACTTTTCCACCTTTTTACGTTTTTCAATTTGGGCGAAATCTCTGTCACAGGATAGAAAGGAATGCCCAGACACTAAGTACTTATGATTAATTTCGTCAAATTTATACGTGAGTGTTAAATATATCCATAGAAATAATAGCATTTTGTTTTTATTTTGGCCCACACAGTTATCAGACCACATAGTTAGTTTACGTTTCACTGTTTGATTAGAATTCAATGCTTCAAAAACACATGAAGCGATTTCATTTCCTCCACGGCCACTCATACCTTCGTGCCATAAGAACATGTGCCCTCTGTTAGTGTCACCAAAATGTACACCTAAATTGTAACAGGATAACTGACGCAAGTAAAACATTTGACTATGCGTTAATAAAGGTAAAGATAAGACCTGTTCTAAATCCATTGAAAACATGCAAATATCACTGGTAGGGAGCTGAGACAAAGCCATGTCTTGTTTCATTTGTTGCCTTGCTTTTTCAGATTTTTTGTGATGAAGTTTTAACAAATTTTTGGTATGTTTATCACGCGGTTTTGCCGCTACTTCTGCTGATAACAAATCACATTTACTGCAAGTATCTGTACGTTGATTTATGGAATGAAATATTTGGGCATTTTTGTTTAAACGATTCAAAGAAAAACCTGTAGGTAACAGGAGAGTCAGAGAATTTATCTTTAAACGAACGAAATAGTCTACTGATATTAAATATTGGCTTAAATATTTTTTTTTTGTTTTTTTTTTGTTTTTTTTTTCTCCCGTAATGACTTTCATCTCTCGGAAAAGAGTTCACATGCTCTATAATAAGGTTTTTATCTGCATCAGTAAACTTGCTTCTATTCTGCGTATTACCACGTGTTTCAGTATATACACCCTCTCCCCCTTTTTTTTTTAACACTAGAGTCTCAACTCTGCGTTTAGTAATCCCAAAAACTTCCATAAATAATTTTTTACAGACCTGTATGATGTTGCCGTTCCATCTGGAATAGAAAAACATACGGTAACTTGCCTTCTGCTGTCCTTCGGATCATCATACTTTCCGTGACGCCTTCTTTTTGACCGGAGTAATAATCATCAAACCCATCAAATAAGAATACCTATTCCGTTTCAACAACCAACATATATTGATAACTAAAATAATTATTTTTATTATAGGACGGGTCGTGTTATCAGCATGGGAAATAACATTAACATGATCAAAAATATAAATTATATATTTAGTGTCACTTAGCACGTTATTTCACCACAAAATCCCAGCACATACTACACACACTATCTAGCGGATGTTTTTACCTATAATATTATTAACCAAGGCACTTAGCCCGTTATTGAATTCAAGTCATCATATAATCAAAATATATTAACTGTAGGATATAATAAATAATAGTAGTATAATTGCAAAAATTTTATTTAAACTGTGGCTAGTTTATTTTATGATGCATTTACACTTAATTAAAAAAAAATTATCTTTTTTAGGACAGATGTTATCTTGCGCTAAAAACTTCAAGATGAATAGAAAATCATTCAATTTACTTAATCGTTCTTATGCTATCAGTAAAATGGCTAACAAACTAAACGATAGATTTTTTAAAGCAAATATAACAGTCTCAAAAATAAGTATTGACAAAAAAAAATCAGCATATTTTATAATATACAGTAAAAGGTCATCGATGAAAATTTAATGAGCGATATTTTTATAGTTATATAAATCGTTAAACAATTTAAATTAATAAAAAAAAAAGTAGTAAATTAACACTGAAAATATTTGAATTTTTAAAATTACTTGACAATAAAAGTATTTATTAGAAAATTTCATGTATCTTTTAACAATACAGTAACATTAATTATTGCGTTTTAAGTCTTCTCTGAGTTCTAAATATATCGTTGATCAATTTTTTTTATTAGCATTTTTTACAACCTGTTGCATATGCAACAAACAATACATAAATAAATAAATAGATACAATATTATTACTGTATCTATCTAATATTTATTATATAATGAATGTTTAAGTTTTGGATATCATCAAGTTGTTGATCTTTTAAAAATGGAAATTAGAACAAATTCATTATGAAATTATTACAACGTAAATAATATTATAATTTTATGAGGACTATAATTTTTTTAGCTAAAAGAATTCTTGATAACAATTTGTGGACTTCGTTTAGAAAATTTATTTGGAAAACCCATGTAATACCAATAAGTGATTTTGACATGAAATCAATGGCTAGTGAAGATTTGTTTTTTCAAAATGTCTCTGATACATGCATATTAGAGTTACTTACTGACTGCCGGCCTTCTACAAAATGTATCCGAAGTGAACTTGAAGATAATTTTCTGGGTTACGCACTTACTCATCAAGTATTATACATTCATATTTTAAAGAAGGTTTGGCTTTAATAAAAATAATATAATATAACCTAATAATTATATTAGAAAGCACATAACTAATTTTTCAGATGAAGTGTCTAAAGCACAATATTCAAATTATATTGGATGGATTTATACAAGACAAGTGTAATACTATGGTCAATGAAGCCGAATACATGATTAACAGCCCAAACATTCTTTATGATTACAGAGATTTATTTATTGAACAAAGTAATTATTTGATTAAAAAAACCATTATGGTGATTTTTCTTTAAAATGTTTTCGCGTGCATGATTAAAATTTCACAAATGGTTATTAACTCTAAATAAAAATTTGTATCTTAGGTTATGAAAAGCCTATCTACAAAAATTAATTTTTGTAAATTCTTTTTTCTCTATTTTTAAATGACAACTACTATATAATTCTTAAGTATGTTAGCAACGCGATTTAGGTTTCCTTTAATAACATTTAATTTTTTTTTAATGCGTAACTAAGATAATTTTAGCAACATACTTAGTTTTTGTGAGTAATTATTTAAAAATATAATTTTTTTTTGTTTTATTGGGCGGTATGTAGGCTCTTCTGACCCAAGGTATAAAAATATTTGATATACAAGGGATTGAATGCACATGTTATAGATCTTTTTTATCCAAAAAATTCTCATGACTAGTTTGACAAACAATTTTATTTTGCAGTCACCTTAATAGTAAAATACAATAATTTCTAAATTCTCCTAAACTTTGTTAATTCAATACTTTAATTAATCAAAAAATTAACTAACAATTTAATTAGAAATAACTTCTTCTTTTTCTTTGCCTTAATTCCAACTACTTGGGGTCGGCCACCCTATCCTAAACTTCCACTTGACACGATCTCTCACATCATCTACGCTCACATTAGCCGTCCTCATATCGCATTCAATAAATAATTTAATTAGTAATAACAAATAATTATATGTTTAACAAACCAATTCATAATTTAGTTGCTGTCTGTGGAATGGAGAACATGATAGATTTTATACGACCAGAATGGTTATCATTCATATTGTCTTTGCAGAATCAACAAGGATGTTTTCAAAATGCGATAGAAAAACAGTAATATTAATTTGTATAATGTTTTATTGTATTTAATGTACTCCACAAAAAATATAAAATGTGATATATTTATATTTTGATATCCATAGTGTTTCCACTGGATATTAATGAAAATATTTCAAAACGTATAGTTTGAGGTTGGGTTCAAAATTATAATTTTAAGAATTTTTAGATTTGATATGAAATTTTTGTTTCAAATCAAATTACTCATGCGAAATAATTTTTTTTAGTGTTGTATATTGAAATCTCATGTAAGATTCTATACATTTTTAATATAAAAAAAATATCGTGAACTTTATGATAAAATAATTATAATTATTAAAGTTAAATAAAGTCTTCTTTGAGACTTATTTATTAATTTGGTTAGTCTTATAAATATTTTATGTTTTTTTCTCAGATTTGATTGTGACACACATCTCACGGGAGTATCATTGGCAGCTCTAGGTGTTTATTGGAAATTTCTATGCTATCATAATAACATGGAAAGTACAATTGATACTAGTGAACAAACTTAGATGTGTATAATAGTCTAAATATAAATAAATAATTATTAATAGTAACATATATTATATAATACACCACTTTATTTTGGTCGATGTAGAATATATATTATAATACAGGAGATTTTTTTATATTACAAAATTATTTACAAAATTTGCATACAATTTTAAAATATATACTTATCATTAATACACATCGAATGACACTTAAAATTAAAATTCTATAATAGCACAAATTATATTTTTCATCGTTTTTATCAATATATTAAATATTATTTAGAGAATTTTAGATATAATAATTATTTTTACATATTCAAATAAATGATAAATTAGGTTCGAATAATTTTAAATAGAATATAGGTATAAATATATTAATATAGCTTTATTAATTATCGTATGTCAATTAATCTTTAGAATTTATGTAGGTGTTGATGCAATATTAATACAGAATTTATTTAAGAAAAATAAGTATGTATTATTATTTTAATCAGCTTGTATAATATTTGTATGTAGAAATGGTGATTTTAGTGTTTAAATAATACTCTATACTCTAAAAGTAACAAATCAAAACTATCAAAAATCGACAATAGTACATTTAATAAAGTTTCATTTCTTTTATTCTGAAAAGCATAATACAAAATAATTATTTGGCCCATATACACTGCAATAGAAATATAACTTAGTTTCATAATTAAAAGCATTAGAATAAGATAAAAATTAATTTTATAATTTGAAACATTATTATAACAATAATAACATTCACACACATATATATATATGACCGTCCACTAGTAAAATATATATATATATATTGTTCATAATTAATATTTTGCTTTGCCATTTTTAAAATTAACTGTTATTAGTAAAATAAACAATTATTGAAATTCACACACACACATATATATATATATATATATATGACCGTCCACTAGTAAAATATATATATGTTCATAATTAATATTTTGCTTTGCCATTTTTAAAATTAACTGTTATTAGTAAAATAAACAATTATTAAATACTATACAACTGAACAACTCAAATTTTGCATTATTCATCATATATTTTTGAACCTTAATTTTAAATTAAGGTTCAATGTCTATTGCAGAAAGAAATGTATTTAGGGTTTATAAATGACATTATTAAAAATTTAATTGTTCATTAAAAGAACACTATTTGTTTTATAATTAAAGAAATGGTATTTTTGATCTAGGATACCAACAAAATTTCTCTAATTCATTACTTTTTTATTTGACTTATGGCTGAATTTGATATAAGATTATAAGTAACAGCTTTCAATAATATAAACAAAATAATTACTCAAAATATTAATACTTCCAAAAGCATAATTTATTTTGTTGTTATTTAATCTCATTATTTCATTGTATAAATTAATATGGTTTTAATTTTAATATATATTATAATTAAATGAAATATGTAATTTTCTTTAAAAATAGAAGCTATTAATATTACATATTGCTAGTCATAAATGTATTACATTTTTCATACCACTTAAGTAAAAAGTTAAAATGGTTTTACAATTAATGAAAGTAAAAAAAAAAAATATGGTAATAACTTAATTTACAAAGTGTCAAATTTAATAAGATAGTTATTTATTACAGTTAAATTCATATTATATTTGAATTAGTAACAAGTAATTTATTAGTAATAATAAATAACACAATTAGTTAGATACTAATCCTTATTGATACTTAGTACTAATAAATTTCAGTCGACACCATTGTTAATTTTAATTATAATAGTATAGTACAGTATTTCACAATCATACTCTTAATAAGAAAAAACAGACAATATTATATTTCAAAATCATGTATTCTAAACATAAAAAGTTTTTTTTTGAAACTTATTTATTTTGCAAATAATATAAAACAAAAAATTTATTAATTACCTCAAGTATTCCACAAGAGGTTGCTAAAGTCACAAACCTTTTATTAGTCACATTTTTAGTCACTAATGTATGCGCGGTCTTATACCGTCGCCACCACATTTGTCATACCATATAATCATCTTTTTTAAAGTTAATATTTTGATTCGCACAAAAGTCTTTAGTAATAGGTATACAGTTAAAGTAACTACACCATCCACATTCATACATTGGTATAAGATAGAACAATAACAAAAGTAAAATGAATAAAAACAATGCTGATAATAAACACACCCAAATAAGAAAAATTTTCTTTTGTCGATCATATGGACCAAATGAAACAAATGGCAGTAATGCATATGACAGGAGGAATCCAAATATAAATCCAAATAAATGGGCAAAATTGTCTACCCAAGGTAACAGCCCGAGCAGGAAAAGTAAGAATGTGATAGCTAATAGTTTTGAAAGAGCCTGCTCGGGCCTTTTTAACATAGGCCAACAGTTAATAACTTCTACAATAAGACATGCTAAAAGACCAAACTGTGAACCAGCTGGACCCACCTGCAATAAAAAAATCCATGGTGAATAAAATATATTTAAAAGCAATACAATTATTTTAAGTGTTAATTATCAACTTACATCAGCTCTATATGGAACAAATATTGCACTACCTAGATTACCAGCAACTCCAGAACCTAAGTATATTAATGCTATCCTTAAAGAGCCAGTCAATTTTTCTAAATCCCTCATTAAAAAATATTGAATGACAATAGTTGTTGCCAAATGTAAAATTCTGAAACAAATAGATAGANTGTTGCCAAATGTAAAATTCTGAAACAAATAGATAGAGTATGAAATGTTTGTGTTGTACTTTGATAGTGAAAAATATTATATTAATATATTATCACTAAATTGATATTATGAACTTATTAAATAAAAGATAGCAAAATATACTTGGAATAATAATAGCAAAAAATTGTAAAGAAATTTCGTAGAATTGAAAGCAATTATTGACAAGTGCAGATTTCTACTTTATTAAATAAACAATAAACATAAGGTAAGTATAAGATTACAAATACTTTTAACTTAAAGAATGATTATTATTTACACTTAATAAATTTAGACAGATTATATAATCTAATGTTATTCCAAATGTTTATTTTACTCACCCAGCATGTATGAAAAGGGATATCCATAATCTATAAAATTGATCAGGAATTTCTGGGGAAAAAAATGGAATAAGTCCACAGACATCATTTAAGCATGACACCTATTTAAAAATTATATAACATAATTAATAAATAATAAACTACATAGATTAATAATGTTTATTATACTTGAGAACAAAGAGAGGCATCATCATGAAAATAACCGTGAACAAAATCACAATATTCTCTTGTAGTTATATGACACGTGCCATGAATACCAATACAACATGGATGACCTATAACCTCACATATCATATGCTCAGCAGATGTGAGTTTTTGACTTATAACAGAACTTCCCCAACTATGTCTAGCACTACCACGACCACTCATTTTACGACATATTGGCCATTTAGTAATATCATCTGGCCATTCATAAGGCGCAACAGATGCTGGAGCTTCGCAATACCTGTTCATTTTTCATATATATAAAATATGAGTATAATGTACAAAAGTCAAATTAATTTTTAATAAAAAATTACATACTTAGGATCTAATCCACATACAGAACCTGATATTCTTCCACCAGGCCCAGCTTCAATTTCAGACCATTTTTTCCACTTAGATATTGATGTCTGAATAAATTAATAACATTGTATATTAAAAATTGAAAAAAAAAATAATTTTAACAAGTAATTTCCAAATAAATTTAAGATTTAATATACAACATAAATTAAAATTCTCTAAATAATATAATAATGATAAATAAATGTCAAAGTAACTAAAATATAAGTAAAACTTAACAAACCAAATGTATAATAGTTTTAGACTATCAAATTCTAAATTACTACTTCATGTACTAAATCTAAAAAAAATTATTGAGTTTTAATCAATATACACTAAAATTAACACATTTTTTTTATTAGTCCAAGTTTCAATTTCATCAAATTAAAAAAAAAAAACAGTATCACAGTATAGACATGGATATCTGACAGTGATTAAAATCACTATCATAAAAAACGCTTCGGTACAAATCTGTAGATAGTGTTTAATTCTAAGAAATTGGTGGTTAATTACAAAAGCAACAAAAATTCCCATTTCCTTAATTGTATCCTTATTAGTGGTTTTTGATTTAAAAATATAATATATGAATAAATACTAATTATAGTAGTTAAATTTAGTATGAAATTAATTATCAATAATTTAATATTGTAATTTATACGGAGAAATTATAAAAATAATAAAGTAGTTGAATATTTCTTTACTTTTAATGAGTATAAAAATTTAAAGGGCTTAATGCAATACTTTAAAAAAAAAAATTGTGTTACTTATGAATAAATACACTGGACTACTAGGAACTTTCATCAGAAGCAAAAATACACTTTTCTTTTTCAACTTTTCACACTGTTTTCAAATCTGTAATTAGACTTTTTTATTATTTTTAAGTCTTGATATTATTACTAATTAGTAAAAAATGAGTATTTACATATAAAAAAATTATTAAAACAAAAAAAAATTTGTTTTCAAATCATTACTGATTTTAAGTTTAATATGTTTGATTGTAATATGTTAATTAATTATAAATTATAAATATAATTATAATTATATGTTAATTATAAAAATAATCAATGCAAAATATCATTTTTAACTAATTTTTTGGTCCTTCATAGTATATTTTTGAAAATTTATGATAAAAAAAGTTGTATTTGTTACCTAAAATTGCAAGTTTGAAATTGACATCATTAAATAGAACATTTTATGAGAATTAAAAAAATGTTATTGTTAAGATTAATATGCAATGGGAAATTTTATAATTACTATTTACAGTAAATTTTTTAGAAAGGCTCAATAATTTTTTTGCATATTTATCATATGGTCAAATGAGAGCTGAGAAAATAAATGATAGTCACAAAAAAACACCATATGTAAAATAATTATAATATGTATAATGCTCTTCTCACAAGGGAAGACTATAGTGATGAGGTCCTTAAAATTTATTGAAGTTATTGAATTTTAATGAGATTAAAATCAAATGAGCTGAACATTTCTTTCTAATTCAAAAATAATTAAGAAAAAAATGTAAAAATTTACTTGCACTAGCAGATTTGAACCACGTACTCCAAGCGCAAAAGACACAAGTGTTACCGAATAGGCAACCATATGTTGCATTCGTTGACCGAAAAAATGGCAATTTAAGCTAATTCAAATTTTAAAATTATTTTTTTTTTTTGACTTAAAAGAAGCAAAGAAATTTAAAGAAATTTAACTTTCTATGCTATGTTAATTAGATATGTATAATATTTATGAAAATCAGCGTAGTCTCCTCGTAAGGTATTTTAAAATAAAAAACAAAACTTAGAATTTTAACACAATAATAGCATATTTTTGAATACAGCAGTCATTTTCACCACAAAGAGAAACTAAAGTTCAATTTTTTTTTTAAAGTATATTACATAAGCTTTAATTTAAGATATATATAAAAGTGTCAGTATTTCCAGAACATTTTCAAAAGTTAATTTTTTTGGAAAAGTTGCCATTTTGAACAGGGTAGGTAAAGGGTCAAATGTTTACAAAAATATATCAAATGATAGGTTTGTTGAAATGATTTGTTCATTTTTAAAAAGTTATAGCAGTTTAAAAAAAAAACAACAGACATAATAAAATGAATACTGTCGTACATCAGTAGTATCCCGACAAAGACAAAAAAAGTCATACACAAATTAATTAATACTTTTTTAAGTTCATCGTTTTTAGCTTTTCTCGAGTCCTCCAGTTGGATACACTGGTCAGCCCCAATCCCTCCAATTAGTGAACTACTAAAGAGGTAGAGTTTAGACCCATCTAAACTAGACGGTCTAGCTCAAAAGTAGCAGACTGAAGGGCGGCTCCTTGTCAGCCACCAGCACAGTTACCTTTTCACTATAACTACTAAAGAATGGTTAAGCCCAAAAACTAGCCAGCAAGCACACTAATTGTTATGATCAACTAAAGGACTAGTAGTCCAACCTCGACTCTTGCTGCACACATACAATTTTTAATAGCATGATGGATATAAAGTATTTACTCTCAAGTAGATTTTTAAATAATTATTTTATTTATGAAAAATAAAAACACAAAGTCAAAATGTAATATAAAAATGTAACACAAAATTAATCCTGACTAGTAGTTCAACGTTTCTTTGTCAAAATGTCAATCCCCCTATACTTTTCATGTTTCCCTTTATATATTCTTTATCTTACCATTATTAATATGCTCAAGAATTCAAAAATTGCTTACTACTGTTGTGAAACTTATATTATACTAAAATCGACGTTATTTAATACTTCCTCAGCTATTTACTACAATACCTTCTCAGCTTCGCATTGAAGCTAAAAAAGTTTACTACTAATTTAAAAAGGCAAAAAATAAAAAAAAAGTTATCACAAAATCTTTAGTGTCTTACCGATGGAGGTTTATCATCAATTCCAACACCTCTAACACCACCAGTACTCCAATCCATTAATCGTTTATGAGATGGTATAAGAAACAGTAAAAACAGACAAACACTCGGTAAGAATAAAACTTTATATATTTAGAAGTAAATCAATTATGAATTAAATGTTTTTCAGTAAATACACTTTTTTCATTTTAAAATACTTTTTACTACTAATAATAAGTAAGAATTAATAAGAGAGAATAATGTATATAATATATAAATATACAGGGTATTCAGTAAATTAGGAAATAGGTCAATTGTTAAAAACAATGAGAACAATAGATACACGTTTCCTTACTTACTGAACACTATATATATTTTTTGTTAATTCTTAAAATGATTTTTATGAAAAATAACTAGAAAGAAGTCTTTAAATTTATTGTACTGAACAAAGGAAAAACTTTAATTACTAAATTTTATGTTTTGATATATTACATGAAAATAAAAATTATTAATTTACCTAACTTTTAATAAATATTCTAAATTAAGCTTTTTAATTTTTTAAAATTTTTCTGAATTTAAATTTCCTCATAATATAATTGAGCCATATAACTCAATTACATAAAGTATAAATAATAAGGAATATCTTACTGTGCATTGTTCTTTTGATGCTTGAATACAACCTGAATCGTCATTTCTTATACAACACGCAGTTTCTCTCTCTTTTTTACGCCATTTTTCTATTTCATCTGTTATATTTTTGTCTTTCCTCATACAAGGTGCAAATTTAGCACCTAAGTGTATTAAATCAGCCTGAATATACCAAAATCAAAGTTTAAGTAATAAAGTAATAATATAATTTAAGAACTTTATTATAACTTACAGCTCTAGGACCAATCCAAAAATTAGATGGCTCTATGTATTCAATTATTTGTACAGACAAACTAGTTACCATAACCTGTGTAAAATAGAAATAAATAATTAGTTAAATTGATCAATAAGTAATAATAATATTCTTTTTTAATTTTATTTGTTAATGAAATTTAATATAATTTAAATGTATAATTACAGCTCCAGACTGATGACTAAGGCCAATTCCAAAAGAACCCAATCCATAAGAAAATATTGAAAGAAATAGCACCAAAATTTGAACCACTGTTACCCAATAAGTGAAAAATGGTCTATGGTCTTCTAAATCATCTAGTTGTTGTTTTACATCTCGTCTGTTCATAACTTTTTTATTAAAAGATCGTCTATAAAATGAACATTTCATTAATTCATAACTCACCAGTTTTTTTTATAGTTATTTAAAAAAGTTATTTATATTAAGCATAAAAATAGTTAATTGTATACCTGAACAATCTTCCTATTACACCCATTCCATATTGACGTCTGTCAGAATTATCAAATGCACGATCTAATACCCTACCCCAAATTCTTCCCATGCCAATATTAGGCATATGATCATCTTCTATTCTTTGAGATGGATTTCTCTGCCAGTTAGAATATCTCCCAAAATTCTGATTTTGTTTGTTATAATAATGTCTACTAGAAGGTTCATAGTTGCTACCAGAATCCACAACTTCTTGATCCACCCCTTGATCATTATTTTCTAATGATATGCGATCAAAAAACACCTTACAATAAAAAAGAAGAAATTAATATACATTATTAACTATCTTTTTAATTGAACTAACATCATCAACCAATGGTGAATCTAATGAAGAAGTTTCATGTGTGACAGATGATGGATAACTTCTAGACCATTCACCTGATATTGATACAGTTTTCTTTTTTTTACGACTCAAAGTTTTCTAGAGAAAAAAATAAAAATAAAATTTCTATCAAATAAAATATTATCAAAACAACTGTTATTACTGAAATTGCATATGATAATCCATCTAAAGTTAATTTGGCAACTGATGGTTTTCTGCCTAAAGGCTGAACACGAATAGCACTGCTATCCCTTTCGTCAATATCACGACTTGATTGTAAAACATCAGGCTATTAATTCAATTAATTTTTATCATCAAATTTTATGATTTATATATGTATATTATTAATAGGACAATTAATCATATGCATTTATATATTTTGTTAAGTTAATCCAAACACTTCATTAACCAGTACAAATTTTTATTAATTGACTTGAAAACTTAGTAATATATTTTTTCAGATGTTATAATTTTGGGAGGATTAAAGGGTTAATCTCTTCCTAAAACCATAAATATTTCTGTTATTATATAATCCTATGATAAAGTTGTATAAGTTTTATACCCTTAAAAGTGGCTCAAAAAAAAATTATAAATGCATATAATTCAAAGCCTGATTATAAATTAAAATAAATACTTGAGAAACTTGAGCAATAGGAGTATCATGTATAGAAGAGGCAAATTCTGGTTTTAATTCACCATATTTCCTAGTTGCAAGACGTTTTCTTCTATCTAACCATTTTAGTTTTTCAATCTCTTCATATTCCTCATCTAATCCAAAAAACATTGCTGTTTCTCTTTTGACAAATCTGATTAAAAACATGGTTTTAAAATAAATAAAAAAATGTGTCATTTAGTATTTTAAGTTGTCTTTTCAAATAATNGAAACAAAATTATTCATACAAATAAATACTTTATTAAAAAACATGGTTTTAAAATAAATAAAAAAATGTGTCATTTAGTATTTTAAATTGTCTTTTCAAGTAATATTATGATAGAAAATCCAACAAAAAAAAGTTTAAAATTCTACCTATTTTTAACTAATAATTGATAATTAATTATTATTATAAATCATAGGAGTAAAAAAAGTACACTGATATATCAAATAATATCAAATGAAATAATTACTTTTTAATGGCATCAGTCCTAGAAATAGACTTATGAAATGTATGTGGCTTGTTAAAAATTTCAGAAGATAATATAGGTAATGAAGTTTGATGATGAACAAGTGTTGGTTGTTGCACAGTCTCTCCTGGTGGGCTATTAGGTTGATCTGAACCACTATTTGCTGGTACTGTACAAGTACTAGCAGTTTCTTCTGAATTATCAGTTGTAACCTCAGTGGAAGATGATTGATGTGGTATACTTGGTACAGGTGCTGACATAGTTCTTGATGGAGGTTCATGTTTTCGATCAGGGTTTAACTCCATATTAGGTGGTGCTGAATGAACTCCACTACTTGAACTACAAAGTATACTTAATTTGAAAAAAAGAAAATTAACCAGAAATAGAACACAAATTTTACCTGCTAGATGACTGAATGGATCCAGGACTTGATGTTATAGAGAGTGGAGGTGATCTAGAATTTGTTTGAACTTGATTGGCCAAACCTTTATTGTATCCAGTTTTCCTGAAATAAGAATTCATAATAAATATCATAGGTCAACACCCATTTTGTTGTCTTCAATATTTAGGTTAATTGTGTATGATATTTTCATGCTGATTCTAAATCTGGCTTCAGATTTTTTTTTATAAAATCAAGTTTGTGAGACAAGTATTAATCAAACAAATAAATCATTATAAAAAACTAGAAATAGTTTTTTTTTAATTTTCCAATATATAAATATTTTTAGATTAATCCCATAATTATAAAATTGCAACCAATAAATAGATTATATTTTGAGAAATTCAAAAATATATATTTTTTTGTTTTTTACATAACAAATACTCAGGAAGTGTTATTATATATATAGCTTAAAAATTAAATATTATTTTTATAAGTAATTTTTTAATAGTTTTAGTGAGTTTAACATCAAAATAAACTATATTAGAAATTTAAAAAACAAAAATTATTTTTCTGTTTTTATAATTATTTAATTGTTTAATTAATACATGGTTACTGATTAATAATAATAAAAGATTAGATGTGATGAAAAAAATTTGAAGCCAGTTATGGAGTCTGCACAAACATTTTTATAAGTAATTAACCTAAATAATGTAGACAAATTTTCATTATTTATTATCGTGATAAATCATCTTTTTATAATTTTATCTCTCTCACATTAGTTTCAATTATTATTGAAAATAAGTCTTCAAATATAAGTTTATCAATAAAAATATTCCCATTTATCTGTATCTAATCTACCAATTATTTTTTGAATAATGATTTTTATCATAAATATGAGAGCAAAAATTACATTTAATTAAAAACAAAATTAACAATATAATAAAAACATAGAATGAAAAACGTTGAATAATTCATAAAACTCCAAATACTTGAATGTAGAACTATCTGATCTTACTATTGCTCAAATGAAACATAATATAATGCATCATTAAAAAAATTACATAACATGTAATTTTTTTGTATAAATCCAGCTTGATACTTGCATACGCATTTTCATAAACTCTAACTTAGATTTATTCATTAATGAAATTTAAACTGTAATAATTTTTACACACTCAAATTATGTTATCATGAATTATCTTACTGATACAGACAATATCTGTAGATTCTCTTGTTATCATTTATCCTGTGGTATTAAAATAAACCTTTTTCTGTGGGTGTATAGAAAACCTAACTATGTCCAAGTTAGGATAATATTAAATTAAAAAACTACTAAACTGTGAATTTATGATTAAGTACCACTAATGCGAATTAACATATTGCTGAACACCTAAAATTATTTTTCGTTATTATATTAACACGTGATTACATGAAAATGTTAATTATAACTATTTTATAAGTACTCTGTTCTATTATTATTTTTTGAATGTTTTTTTTAACATTTTCGAGTTTCAAAAAATTGGAATATAAATATTATTTTCAAAAACAAAAACCTTTTATTCTGTACAGGCACTAACTTAGTGCTACAAAAACATTACAACTAAGAGAGCAAAAATACCTACAGTATTCAAATTTAATTAAATTTTTTATATATTTACCCTAAATGAAGTGAAGATATCGAATAATAATTATTATAATCATAATTATAATATAAGATGTATAAATAATGAATAAAATAATCAATTTATTGAAATAATAATTGTTGATTAACTAATCTCATAGCGACAACGAATAAATTAATGAATATGACATATAATTGTTGATAAGATTAATTATTAATTGCACGTTGATTATAGTGAAAATTATGTTTGTCGTATCACAAGTCGTATTTAAAATATTACAAAACAAATTTAAAAAATAATTTTATTTCGACGTGAAGTTAGTGGGTTGTATTTATATTATTGTTTTTGATAAAAATTATAGTCTTAAACAAAATTAATATAGATTTTAAAATGGTTATATATTCATTTAAATGTCTCAAGTAAATAAACTTTATATTTAATTTCCGTTTTTTATTTTACTTCTATCGTCGTAACACTAAACGATAATTTTAAAAACGTTTTGTCGGTTAAATTAGTTTTCATTTGGGTTTCTATTTGGAGCGTCGAAAGATTTAGTTATAAATTGAATATATATAGTTTTGGAGGTCTCTGCTTAATTTCCGGAGAGAGAACAAAGTATCCAAGTCGATGAGCTTGTAATATTAGTGGTGACGAAATTTGGGAAAGGTCGTTGTCGTACAAATAGTTAAATTCCCAATAAAATAGTTTATAACTAGCAATCTTACCACCGTTTCTCCTGTATAATAAACGAAAATTATTGTTGCTTTGATAAATTTTTCTTTAAGATATTATTACCAATAGCGTGTTAAATTAAATATTTTACATAAAAAATTGATTAAATGTGTAGAAAATAATAATAATATGAACAATTTCCCTGTACCCTCAGTGCTGTACGAGTAGACAATTTGTCATGTTAATTTTTTAATTAAAAAAAATAACTTACCACGTTAGATTGTTGTTTGGTTGAGCTGTACTTGAACACTGAGCGTTATGGCTTAAATAATTATGATTTGAGGCTGGTGGATTGAGGTTTGTAGAATTTTTTACATTGGACATAACGGCTTGGCTAGGATAGGCGGTTGACGAACAACATGCCAGCGCAGTGCTTTCCCTGATGCATGAAGTCGAAATCCGTCTTGGCGCGGTATTGCCGTACGCGTCAAAGTGACTCGGACCGGAACAAATAATATTAGCACTACCACAACGCGGTAACGTGGCTGTGTGCGAATCGTATTGGAGTAGACACAAATTGTTGCTGTTCGGACCCTTGGGCGGCGAGGACCCTGTGGAGGAAGACATGTGACCGGTCTGGTGCTGTACCAGACCGGTCGGCGATAGGTCTCTTGGCGATCGAGCCCGGCTGTTGGCATATTGGTAGCCACAGCCGACACTCGCGATGCCGCTGCTGTACACCGAACCCGTACAGCAGCGGTTAGACGACCTCATGGTGGCTGTCGCATACGCCCTAGACAACGCGGCCGAAGACGGCTGCAACGCATCCACGATGGACGACGCCCTCGTATACGCCGACGTGTCTTTTCTAGTCCCGTACACGTCGTCACAACGGTCGTAGTGGCCGTCGTAACCATCGTCAGGAGAAACAATTGGAACAAAACGTTCAGTCGGTTGGTATCTAAAAAGATTTAACCAAATAATTTAATAGTTCCGTAGATTTATTTGTAAACTCACCTCGCATAAATGGATTCGTTACGTTTGGCGTAGCTATCGTGGTGACGTCCGGCGTAGTCGAACCGTTCGACCACCGGCGACGGCGGTGACATGAAACTTTCAGACGTGCTTTGCGACACTGGTAAGTAATTGCTGCGATTGGGCGGACCGTGACACGTGTACCTGTCGTCGGATGGCCCATACGACCTACCCGCTGAGGTGTGGTTGCTGTTACTACTGCCCGAATACCTTTCGGGGGACGGGGGTGGCACGTATCGGTCCAGCGCCAGGTCGTGAACACGGTAGTGGCCCTCGATGGTGCCATGGTACCGTTCTGACTGCGGTGGCGGTTCCAGCAATGCTGCCGTCGAACGGTACAACGTTCCTCCGCCACCGTTTTGGTTCCGATAGTCTCTGCGAATTTTACAGTAATCGGTTCCATCGTGACCCGGCGGTAAGGGTCTCATATTGCCGCCATTTGGATCATTGTCAAGACATCTGAAAATTAAATTTTAAAAAAAAGCTAATCAAAACGTTTTTAATATTTTTTTGAAAACTTATACGATAAATGTATACAGTGACGCAACCACAAGGGTTAGAAGATTGTAATCTCCCATTCGAAAAAAATGATTAGAAATGTTTGAAATTTTTAGATTGATACAGAGCTACACGAGTATTATTCCTACTATATTGAACGTTGACAACAGGAAACATCATTTATTGATACGTTTAGTAAAAATAAAAAAGTTATCTTATCATTTTCACTGGCAATAGATGGACGTTTTATCTTGAATTAATAATTTGTTTAAAAAACTCCATGCAAAGTCAGTGGCGGCCTTTAGTGCGGGTGTAACTCTAAAATACTGTTTATACGTCATTTTTTTATTTTATTCATTCGTTTTAGCCCAAGTTGTCAAGAACAAGTAAGTTATTCCGAAGACACGAACCGTCGTAAACATTTTATTCCATAAAAATAAGAGTTTAATTGAGTACAGTTGGAGACATATTTTAATTATTTTGTAAATACATATAAAAATAAAAAATAAATAAGTTTTTAACTAAATGGAATTATTTTGGTAATGAAAACAAAATAAAAGAATATTAAATTTGTGACACTAACCTTGAGCGACAAATTATAACGTATTGTATTCTATATATTGTGTACAATGAACGATATACACTTACTAAAATTATGTCGTTATTCTTTAGGTTTTTCTTAATTTTGTGTACTTATTTAGCTTAAAAAAATGTCAAATATTGTGAGGTCTTTTAAACCGTAGTTATGAAAACTATTTGTATAACAAATTAACGAACTGAATATTATATAATACTTATGACTAACATATTTTAGTTTAAAATTTATTCTTTAAAAAAATTATTAAAAGTTCAGGAAAGTATTTTTAAAAATAAAATTAATGTTTATTTCATAATTTTCAAGAAATTAGTCATAATTACAGAGTAAATTACATTCTGCTACGTAATATGCAATGTAATGATATGATAAAATACTTCAATATTGTTAATCACAAAGTACACTATTATAATATTTTTGATTTTATTTGATAATATAAATTGTTTTATTATAACCTGAAATTAAATCATATTAAGCTATAAAAGCATTTTTATAAGATATTAGGTGTTACCAAAGTCTCATTAATTATTAGACATTAAATAATCAGTCGATTATCAGAGATAATTGATCGACAAACGAACGATAAGAGGAGCTCTAAAATGTTATTCTATTGTTAAAAATAATTGATGAAATACACCATATTTATATGAAGATTTTAATAATATAACTTTTGTATTATCACGGTGTGAAAACCAAAAGGTTTTATTTTTCATGGGCATTGTAAATATGAAAAATCCTTTTGGTTTTCATGCCACGTTCTAAGTAATTTTTCGTAAAAAGATTATCAGCATTTTAGTGGTTCACTGAAGTTTCAATAAATGTTTAATGCCATTGATGAATTCCATAAAACCCATAGTTATGTATTGATGACAGAAATAATTACAAGGCATCAATTGGCTACGGAATTCTATTTATAAAAGTTTATGAACTAAAGAAAACCTTCTTTTGAAAATTAATTCACTGATTAATAGTCTTTTATGATCGATTATAAAGTAATGGTATTTCGAAAAGACTTTTTGCGCAATATTAAATTATTCCAATGAAAACCTGTATTTTAAATTTACAACTATACTTGTTAATACAAGTAAAATGGTATAAAAGCATTTAAAAAATTGTGAATTGAATTTTAAATAGGTACTTTAATAAACTTTACAAGAGATAGATTCATAAGAACACATCAAATAAAAGTGACTTATTTATCATTTCTTGATTTACTGATTAATTTATATGATAACAAAATAACTAAATTAGACGTCAATTTTTAATTAATGCTATTAATTAACAATTAATTAATTATTTAATAACTATAACATAAACATTTTATATGAGCTAAAATCATCATCTCCATAGTCTTTATCCCAACTATTTGAGGTTAGTTTTGTTTTATGATTTGACAGATTTTTTACACCGGCTGTCGACCTGACGTAATCTTAATACAGCTTAGAGAGCCAGTAAAAGGGTAAGGTGTGTGTCATTATTAAAATTTTCGTATGGTCACCCATCCAGAAACCATCAAATAGCGAAGTTGTACATTCTTAGTGTTGTAATCGACACTAAGACGGCGTCTGATTTATCTACCACGCCCTCTTATGTGAGCGAAAATAATAATAAAAATATAAGGCGAAAAATTTTATTTAAAAAAAGTATTGGGGGAGTGGCTAACTAATCCCGCCTCCTTAATATTCCTAAATAAAAAAAAACTAAGCTTCTTAGTTTCACTAGATCATCACTAAAAAAAAAAAAAATTAATATATCTAAAAGTGCAAACCTAAATTTTTTTGGTCTTGGCTAAACTAGACTTTTACATGTAAAGGTCTAGTTTCGTCTTTTCTTGTGGCTTAACGATTACAATATTGATAGAAACAAATGNTCTTTTCTTGTGGCTTAACGATTACAATATTGATAGAAACAAATGAATATCTAATAAGAATCGATGTAGAACTTTTTTTATATAGACAACACGCATTTTGTAGAGTTATTTGTCCTATCATAATGTCCAAGCCAAAATAAACTGCATTTACAGTAAAGTTTTATTCTATTATAAATTATATCATGAATAGTAAAATTGAACTTATATTTTAAATTATTCTCTCAGTCTCGACAGGATACCAATACTACGAGTAAAAAAAAAAAAAAAATCCAC